TGTTTCTGGCACGGCGGCTCGACAGGAATCACGGCTTATCGCGGAAGAGCGTTTGCAATCCACAGCATCGTGAAGCCCAGAGCCATTAACCAGACTGCACTTCCCACAGGGAGTCGAAATGTCCGCCGTTGAGGCTCCATCTGAGACGCATACCTTGAAGCATCGATTCTTCCAGTCGATATCCGGATGTACATCCACAAAGAATGGCATCCCGAGAACACAGTCAAACTCCTCGGGAATGTCGAAGACAACTGCTATACACTGGTAATTTGGGACACCCTGGAGTAGAATCTCGATCTTTACCAACTCTAGGATAGACTCGCCAATCTTGTTGTCGCCGAGCTTCACTTTGATAGTCCGGTCCGTGTAAGCGTGTGTCTTCAGCTCATGCTTCTTGACGAACCCACGAGACACGTATACGGTTGTGGCACCACAGTCCAACAGGATCTTGGCACCGAAATTGTTTACACCCTGTACCATTGATCCTTCAATCGAAAACAATGGCGCACGAGTGTAGACGAGAGGGTCTTCGCAAAGCAGATTCAACGTATCCTCGTTTACGGTTAAATCTTCTTTGCTAGCTTTCGCCACGTCAGGTCCCTCTTCTACTGGCGTGGCTGATCGTTTCCCTCGTCGCTCTTCAGCTCCTTGCAATCACGCTTGAAGTGTCCTGGCTTCTTGCAATAGTAGCACACGGGTCCTTCTTTGGCTTGTTCCGCGGGAGCGTAGTGACCAGGCTTGAAGGACTTCTTGTTGAACGGCTTCTTGTTGTTGGACTGGTTAGAGCTTCCTCGTCCGCGGGACTGTTGCTCACGCTCCGGCTTTTCGCGGATCGGTTTGCGCTCGCCACCAAAATGGGACATCTCATACTTGGCAGCATGGTCCATCGCCTCACTCAGTGTCGTCGCGTTCTGAAGTTTAACATAGGCTTGAGTCGCACGCTTGAGACCGTCACAATAATAGCTGACTTGGTCGACTTCGCTCGTGTCCTCAACGCGGAAGATCAATGACGTGTACCTCCCATTGTACTCTTCGATGCCATTGATCTGGCGGAGTTCACGTAGCTTCTGGCGTAGCACCGCTTGATAGTTGGAGTCTTCGAAGTGAGCGAGGGCATCAGCCGTGAACCGACGCCACGTCTGCATATCTGCTGGTGTTTTTGAGGCCCAGAACAGGAACCATCCTGACGCAGGTTCCTCCATCGCTGTCACCGCGATCGAAGGCAGCGTGTAGTTGTCGTCCGTTGCGTTGTGACCGTTGATTCGGCACAGGGTCTCCACTTGGAAGAGCCACTGGCGTACATCGTCGTCGCGCTTCCCCTTGAACTTCGGCAGGCCGCTCGGAACGCGAGCTTTGGACTCTAGCGGCGGTTGACGCTGCGCTTGATTGTTGGCTTGGAGGGCTGTAATCTCGGCGCGTAGCTGTTTGAGCTGCGCTTCCAGCTCGGCTTGACTCTCTCCTCCTGGCGACGCGTCTGGATCGTTCTTGCGAGTCGCGGGGGCCATGGTCGTCGAGGTTAGACCAACAAGTGCTACCAGTGTATCATATTGACCCCTTGCCGGAGGAAGAGGAGGAGGAAGAGAGTCTTGG